AAACCTGCCCCTTTCATCAGTAGTACAGTAAAAGGTTAATATGGGTCCCACATCCCTTCAAGAAAGGGAGAAGTTAAGGGGAAGTTTTTGGAATTCATCTAAAAAGTTTTCAAGTTCTATTGAACATAATGAAAATATTTCAGGGTCTATTAAACATATCTTGAAATACAAACTTGTCTGTGATAGGATAATATCCAAGTACCTACAAGGAAGACCAGTTAATACAACTGTTATTCAAATTTACACACCAACCACTAAAGACAGTGAGGATGAAATTGACAAATTCTACCAATTTCTTCAGTCAGAAATTGATCAAACATGCAGTCAAGATGTATGGATAATTACTGGGGAATGGAATGCAAAGATTGGAAGCAAAGAGGAAGGGTCAGTAGTTGGAAAATATGGTCTTGATAGAAATGATGCTGCAGATCACATGATAGAATTTTGTGAGACCAATGACTTATTCATTGCAAAGACCTTTTCCAAACAACATAAAAGACAACTGACTATACACATGGGCCTCACCAGATGGAATACACAGAAATCAAACTGACTGCATCTATGGAAAGAGATGATGGAAAACCTCCCTATCATCAGCCAAAACAAAGCCAGTGGCAGACTATGGAATTGCAACTGCTCCAATGCAAATTCAGGCTGAAGCTAAAGAAAATGAAAATAAGTCCACGAGAGCCAAAATATGACCTTGACTTTATTCCACCTGGATTTAGAGATCATCTCAAGAACAGGTTTGATGCATTACACACTAACAACCAGAAGAGTGTGGGATGGCATCAAGAACATCATATAGGAAGAAAGCAAAAGGTCATTAAGACAAGAAAGAAGGAAAAGACAAAAATGGATGTCAGAAGAGACTCTGAAGTTTGCTCTCCGGTGTAGAGATGCTAAATCAGATGGAAGGAGTGAGGAAGTCCAATAGCTGAACAGAAAATTTCAAAAGTCAGCTCAAGAAGACAAAGTCAAATATTATAATAAAATGTGCAAAGACTTGAAGTTAGAAAACCAAAAAGGAAGAACACTCTCAGCATTTCTTTAGCTAAAGCAAGCATAATTCTCACCATACTCACTTCTAAGGAACAGTCTTGTTTTATTTCTTCTAAGACTGATTTGCTTATTCTCTGACAGTTAATGTAATATTCCACATTCTTCACCAAGAGCACAATTCAAATGTATCAATTCTTCTGTTTTTTTACATTATCCAGTTTTTGCATGTGTGTGAAGCAACTGAAAGGACCATGGTGCAATCAGATACAGCTTAGTCATCAAAGTGATAGCTTTGCTTTCTAGAACTTTAAAGCAGACTTTTACAGCAGATTTGCCCAATGCAAAACATCATTTGCTTTCTTGACTGCTGCTTCCAAGGGCATTGCCTGTTGAACCAAGTAGAATAAAATCTTTGATAATCTCAATTCACCATATATCATGATGTTGTTTATTGGTCCAACAAATGAGATAACCTGGATGAAATGGACAATTCCTAGAAACACAAACTACTAAAACTAACTGAAGAAAATATAGAATATCTGAATTAACATATATAAGCAGAGATTGGATTATTAAGCAAAAATCTTTCCCAAAAGAAAAGACCTTGCTCAGATGAGCTCACTGACAAATTCTACCAAACATTTAAATGCTGATTCTTTACAAACTTCCTCCAAAAAAAGAAGGCAAAGAAGAAGGAAGCTTATTCTAAGAGGTCAGTATTACCTTAATACCTAAACCCGATAAAGGTATCATAAGGAACAATCTACAAATCAATATCCTCTATGAATATAGATGCAAAACTTCTATAAAACACTAGCAAACCTAATCCAGAAACATTAAACAAACAAATAAAATGGATATACACCATGACCAAGTGGAATATATTAAGGAATAGAAGGTTAATATGACATATGAAAACCAACTGCTGTAATACAACGTATTAATGAAGGGAAAAAAATCATCTCAATAAAGGCATTAAAGAATTATCAAAATCCAACATCTGATAAAAACACTCACAGGAATTCAGGAATAGAAGGCAATTTCCTCAATTAGATTAAGAGCACCTACAGACACTCCACACTTAACATCATACTTGATGGTGAAAGACTAAAAATTTCCCCCTAAGAACAAGGAGCTCTGGTAGCGTAGTGGTTATGAATTTGGCTGCGAACCTTAAGATCAGCGGTTCAAAACTACCAGCTGCTCAGCAGGAGAAAGATGAGGCTTTCTACTCCCGTAAAGATTTACAGCCTCAGAAACCCTGTTCAAGGTCGCTATGGGTCGGAACCAACTCAACGGCACTTAACAACAACAAAAATTAAGAACAGGGCAAGGATGTTCACTGTTACCACTTCTATTCAACACTGTAACAGAGGTTCTAACCAGGGTAAGAAAAACAAAAGGCATGCAGATTGGAAAGAAGTAAAACCATCCTTTATGAAGATAGAGGAGCCCTGATTAAGCATTGGGCTGCTAACCACAAAGTTAGTTGTTCAAACCCACTAGCCACTCTGTGGGCGCAAGAGAAGGTTGTTTGTTCCTGTAAGATTTAGTCTTGGAAACCCTAGGGAGCAGTTCTATCCTGTCCTACATAGGGTTACTATGAGTCAAGATCAACTTGATGGCTATGAGTAATTGCAGATAATACAATTTTATACAAGAGGGCTTCAAAAAGTTCACGGAGAAATTCCATTATCTTTTCATTCCATTTTCCCACAAATTTTTTTAAAGCTCCTTCATATATAACAACCATAAAGATTCACACACACACATACAAACTATTAGAACTAAAAAAAAAAAAAACAAGTTCAACAAAGTTGCGGGACTCAAGACTAATATATAAAAACATGAATTGTATTTCTGTATACTAACAATGAACAATCTGAACATGCAACTGAGAAAACATTTTAATATACAATATCATCAAAAAGAATAAAACACTTTGGAACAAATTTAACCAAAGAAGTGCAAAACTTAAACTTTGAAAACTGCAAAATATTGTTGAAATAAATTAAAGAAGAAAGTGGAAACACATCCCATGTCTATGGGTTAGAAGCTAATATTGTTAAAATGGCAGCTAATCTTTGGTTTCAACACAAGACTTTTCAAAATCCCATCTGACTTCTTTGTAGAAACTGTTAAACTGATGCTAAAAATCATATGGAAATGCAAGGAATCTAAAAAATCAAATAATGTTGAAAAAGAATGAAGTTGGAAGACTGACTCTTATTGATTTAAAACTACACAAAGCTATAGTAATCAATAATATAATATTGACATAGCATAATACAGTATTGGAATAGAACTGAGAATCCAAGAGTAAACTTTTACAATTATGCCCAAGTGATTTCGGACAAAAAACAAACAACCCAAGGTTGCACCTACACAGTGCAATAGGGGAAAGAACTGTGATGTATCCAGCAATCAGCTTCCTGTAATAAAAGGGATCAGAAGAGATCCCTTTGTTTTTGATTGTGGCTTGGAAAGTTTACAAAGCAAAGAAGTTTTCCATTCAACAATTCATACACATTTTGTTTTGAAATAGTAATTATAATTCCTTCACTGTAATAGCACTTTTCTGGATTACTCCCTGAATTTATTTGTCCTTACTTCCTGCCTTCTGAACTTTGTTTGGGATCAAGTACTGCTCTTTGAGTCTTTTATGGTCAATTATTCTGAGAAATAGGTTCCTTGCAAATGCTATTGCTCACTTTATAGGGCTGTCTATTTGCTTGCAAGGTGATTCTGGGGGTGTGTTCATTTCCAAGTTTGAAGTATGTCTAAGCGCCATCATCTGGGGCGGGGAGGGGTGGTGGCCTCTCCACCAATCTCCATCAGACCAGTAAGTCTGGTCTTTTTAATTATTTTGAGTTTTTCCACATTTCTTCTCCCACTTTGTCCAGGATTTTCTATTGCGATACTGGTCATCAGAAGCGGTAGCCGGGCATCATCTAGTTCTTTTAGTCTCAGGTACTAGATGCTGATTTCTTATGGTCCAGTAGTCCTTTGAGCTGGTTCCTTCCTTCTTTGATTTTCATCACTCTTCCTTTCTTTGGATGGGACATACCATCTAGATGGTCTCTGAAAAGCTTTTAAGACCCCCAACTGCTACTCACCAAAGTAGGATACAGAACACTGATTTTGTTGAGTATGTTATGCCAACTGACCTAGAATGTCCCCTAAGATGTTAAGCTCCAAAGCCTACTGGAACTTTTTGTAACTGACTATTTACTAACCTAATAAAATAGCCAAAATTTTAATTCTCTCTTAAACGTGTATGCTTAAAGCTATTGCATATCAATTGTAACCACCCAGGTAAATGTTAATAGTGACTAAGACTTTTATGTTAATTTTTTTAAAAAAGCTTTCATTGTGCATTGAGTGATAGTTTACATGGGAGAACATCTGTTTTGCACTCAACCAATAGTATTTCATTTCACTGCAATGAATACAATCCCCTCCCAGAGCCATCTGTTAACAGTATTTGCCTCTATTCCTGATTTTTTCCTTTTTCTTTCTTTTTTTTTTTTTTTTGCATACACAGAAACACACAGGAATATGTAATCGTTTAAGCAGCCAAGGGGTAAATTCTTCAAGCCAGCCTTCCTGCCACCAGCACCCAACCTTTCTCTTTCCATGAGTCTAGAGTCCTCAGCTGCTTTATCTCTCAATGTCATCACCTCTGCCTCCATCTCTGGTGTTGCTGCTTCTCTGGTTAGGGTCCCACGTTCTGTTCATGCTCTTCTCTTTTGATGGCCCTAGGGTCCTCTGTTACCGGAATGTAAGACGTACTACTCCCTCCTTTATGTAATACAACTTCTACCTTTACAATTGTGACAATTGCAATTACTCATGATAACAATTACTCACTATTGAATCATAAGAATCCTATCCCCATCTCCTTTCACCAGACCCATTTAGAGAAGATGAAAACTATTCATTGGGGATTGTATCTTTATGTTAATTTTTTAGTTCCTTAATTTGAATTAAAAACATATTTACAAAAATAAGTGGCAGCCAAACCCTCTGCTGTTGTTGATGGCTACTTGAAGTGCTTCTTCCATTCTTTCCATTGTTGAATATTTAGGGAGGTATAGAATATTAGAACATGTCTGTGCTCTTATAGGATCATTTTCCTTCCAAGTCTGAAGGCAGCAAAATGTTATGTTCATATTTTTTAAACCTTTAATTTGTAGTCTGTCAGTTCCTGTAAGAAACTCTAAAGAGAATAATAAAATTAGGTGCTATGTTTCACATAATGAACAAAATCTTTATAAACAGAAAAATCTGTTTATTCTAAAATAATTACTGAATGATCATGTGCAGAGTCTTACATTAGTCAGGAGTTGGCATAACTGAATGATAACAGACACTGTGTAAAGAAGGCTTCATATTTAGATTAATATTTAGTTTGTTGCTGTTAAGTGCTGTCAAATGGGTTCTGATTCATAATGACCCTATACAGGGTTTCCAAGGAGTAGCTGGTGAATTTGAACTGCCAACCTTGTGGTTAGCAGCACAGGGCTTATCCTACACATCAGGGCTCTAATATTTAGCTTAAATGAAGAAAAGAAGGCGATTTTAAAAGCAAGAAGCAAGGGTAAAGTCACAGGGAAAATGTTAATATTGGAGTCTTAGTGTAGTGCTACAGGATAATGCTCTGGACCACAATGTCGGAGGTTCAAACCCACCAGCTGTTCCTCAGAAACTCTGTACAGAGTCACTATGGGTCAGAACTGACTCATGGCACTTAACAACAACAACATGGTAATATTTGCTAATTGTTGGGAACAATCTGGCATAGAAGTGTTCCTGACACTAACTCCTGAAGCTATATTATGACTGGTCCCTATTATAAATGAGATTCTTATCCCAAAAACAAAAACAAAATATAAGATTAAAGATCTACTAATGATATAATACATACCAAGGAATTTTTTCTTTTCTTCCAAAGTTAATTTATGTAAAGCCTTCCAAAACATCACTATGGTGGGATGTGAACTGGTGTATCCAAACTCATAGCATGCATTCTAGAGGAAAATGCAAAAACAAAATTATTTAGGAAATAGGAAAGATCATTAAATACACAAAGCTTGGCCTCTTTAATGTACCTTTTCAAACATTTCCCAATCATAGTCTGTATTTCCAATAATCACATCCTTTAGTTCTTCAGGGTGGAAAATTTCAATAATCTCCTCATCACACACACTGTAAAATCCTCTCTGAAATTCTTCATAAATTGGCTTTACAGAGATGTTAAAGACGTAATCAATAAACTTTGAAACGTAGTCTCTCCTTTAATGAAGCAAAAGGATATTTTAACTTGCTTGTTGTTGTTGTGAAGTGCTGTCAAGTTGGTTCCAACCTGTAATGACCCTGTATAGGGTTTCCAAGGAGCAGCTGGTGAGCTTGAACCACCAACCTTGTGGTTCAAACGATTTAGCAGTCCAGCATATTAGCCCACAGCATCATACAAGGACTTCTTTAACATACTACAATACTCTAAAAAAAAAAAAAAAAACGGGGGGTCATAGTTGTTGTTAAGTGCCATTAAGTCAGTTCCAACTCATAACGACCCTGTATAGAGTTTCCAAGGAGCAGTTGGTGGGTTTGAACTGTTAACCTTGTTTGCAATGGGGGTGGGCACCAGTAAAAGAACATCTAACCATTATGAGTGCTTATAGTTATTTTTCATATGTTATCTAATATAAATAATGTCCTTAACTACTGTCTGAAGCAGATTCTTATACATATTTTAGTAAAGTGGAAACAGAGATGTTAAATGATTGCTCAAGGTCACACAGTCAAGAGATTCAAGACTTGCATTAGAGGAGAAAAAGACTAGAAAAGTTGAAACTAACCTACCCACAGTGAGTACCTCAGGGGAATGGACTTGAGAGACCAAGACAATTTCTTATTTTATCTTGGAGTCTTCTGTATTGTCTGAATTTTCCACAGTGAGTAACTAATATTATTTTTAGTAAACACAAAGGGGATTTTCATTCATTTCTTGTTATGATGGGGCAAAATCTAGCAAATCAATGTTCTAATGGAAAAGAACCAAGAGAGCCAGGTAAAAACACAAATGATGCTCTATGTTTTCAAATATGAGTAAAGACTCAACAGGCCAAGACTGTGAAGAGAAGGTAAGTTCACTGAGGTGATCTCAGCATTTTGCTTGCAATTTTCCCTTTTGGGCAACTGGCCAATTCTTGATGCAGGGAAAGAGGCCATGCAAAAAATAATTGTTAAGAGGCAACAAAGTCAAGAGAATTTTCAGCAATTTCATGGAACTTGGTATAAAAAATAAAGTTTAGGCCTACTAAAAATAAATAGGACTTAAGAGACCAAGGGCCCTGGGAGAAAGAAGATACAGAGAAATTAGCTAGACCATCAACAATTTCCCCAGTGAGCTATGCAAGAAAGACACGAAGAAAGAAGCAAAAAAACAGAAAGAAAAACAATTTTCAAGAGTTTCATGGTGTTAAGGAAACAATAACTGGAATTCAGGATTCTCCCAAAGGAAAGGGGTCTTAACAAATACTGTAGGTTCTTGGTTAGGATCCCTGGAGAGTTACAGTGAGGAGTGAAGGTGAATCAAAGGCAGACAGCCTTAGAAAAATTATAATCCTCCCTCAAGGCAGTTCACTCTTGGATTGAGGAGATTCTCTTTAGTTTAGCTACCTACCAGAGAATAAGGCAAATCCTCTCTGGAGAAAAATAACATCATTCCATTCCTTTATGATATACAAAAGTCTAGCATTTCATCAAATTACCAGATAGACCATAAAAGGAAACAAAAAAAGTGGGGAGAAGATTATAGAGATGAATATATAGGTGACAAAAATACTGGCAATATTAGACATCACACTAAAATAGATGATTAATATGTCAGAAAAAAGAAATAGGAATAAGGAGAAATTTGTGTGAAAATGTTATTGTCAGGTGTTGTTCAGTCAGTTGTGAATCATAGGAATCTTATGCACAACAGAATGTAACACTGCCAAGTCCTGCCCTTAACCTCACAATTGTTACAATTGAGCCGCTTGCTGCTGCCACTGTGCCAATCCATCTCGTTGAGGGTCTTAATCATTGTACAACTTTTACATACATGCATATGAGGTTATTGAAAATACCATGGTTTGGACCAGGTGCACCTTAGGCCTCAAATTGACATCTTTGCTCTTGAACACTTTGAAGAGGTCTTGTGCAGCAGATTGACCTAATGCAATACGTCATTTGCTTTCTTGACTGATGCTTTCATGAATATTGATGGTGGATCATAGCAAAATGAAGTCTCTAACAACTTCAATCTTTTCTCCATTTATCATGGTGACATTTATCGGTCAAATGGTGAGGATTTCTTTTTCTTTACATGGATGTGCAACCCATACCGACGGCTGTGGTCATTGGGTTTCATCAGCAAGGTTATATCATCTGTATATTGCAGGTTGTTAATGAGTCTTCCTTCAATTCAGATGCCATGATCTTCTCCATATAATCCAGTTTCTCAGATTCTTTGCTCAATGTACAGACTGACTAAGTATGTTGAAAGAATACA